AGCCCGTCAGATACAGCTCCGATCGCCACAAAGGGAGGATCCTATGGAATCCTATCTCGAAGCGCGTGCGGCACTTTTGTGAGGCTCTGGAGGCCTCCAGAGGCCTCTCGTAGAGGCCTCTGGTAGAGGCCTCCAATGGGGTCCGAGTGGATGGGGTCGGAGGATCGCGCCGCATCGCCGATGCATCTCCGAGGCATCAGTGACGTCGGCGATGGCGTGGGCGCCGTCGGCGTGGAGAAGATCGAATTCCGCATCGCCGAGGCATCGGCAATGCCGCGCGATCCTCCGACTCCATCTGCTCTGGATTTCAGAATCAAAGTGGGCGCTTTGATTTGGGAGGGGTCTGAATTGAGCTTTCTCTCGCCTGGGAGCTCTGTGACCCCCACCCCTTCACTGAGCCATTCGGAGCACTCGGACGCCATCCGCAATAGCAGTAGCCTCCACGGGGGCCTCCCAGGGGACAGCAGCCACGACCGACGACAGCGGGGCAGCCGTCGGGGACTCCCCCAAGCGGTGTGGCGACCGCCCCCTCGGCGGGGAATCCGCGGGGCTCCGCGCGGCTTTGGCGCGCGGACCGCACCTCCGAGGACGCCCCTCGGGGCCTCCGAGGCCCCAGCTCCGTGTGGCGGCGGGCCTCGCGGCGAGGCCTCGCGGGGTCTCGAGGACGCCGCGCGGTCCGTCACCGCACGGTCTTCTGCGGCCCCGTCCGCGAGGACGCGAGGCTGGGCGGCTCCTCCCTGGACGACGTGATGCAGGCAGGCCGGAGGGCACGCAGCGCACAGAGCCAGGGATCCAGTGGGTGGCGACATCCGAATCCTGCCGCCACCAACCATCGATCCTCCTGAATCGACGGGAAGCGGGCGTGTAGAGCTCAGACTTCGCCAGTTGTTCGACGAATTCTGGGCCCTACCCCCGAGGCCCATCGAGTTGCCTGAATCGCTGATCGGCCAGGGTAGGGTTCGGCCGCACCAGGACGCACAGCGGCGTCTGGCCGCATCGGATCGTCGGCGTGCCGGAGTCGAATCGGATCGGGCCCGTCGGAACCGATCTCGAACTGGATCGACCCGATTGGCATGGGGAAGACAAAAGGTAGTTACCGATACCGCTGGACCCCGGACCTCTCCCGGGGTGCGTTCTGACTATGACTTCGAAGCGAATCCAGCGGTGGCGACGAGGGTATCCTAGGAGGCCCAACAAGGGGACAAGGAGGGATGGGCAGCGGCATGGGTACGTGTGTCCAAGTCGGGAGCCCCAACCGAACCCAAAGGAACGGAAGAGGGCCGAATTGAAAAGAGAGGGGCCTCAAGAACCTCGAGGCCCCACGCGGAGGTCAACCCATAGGTCGATCCGAGATCAGCCAAACAGGCTGTCAAACAGTGAAGCCTAGGCCACCACAAGGCCCAGTCCAGACGACAGGGGGCGGCAGGCGGCAGCCTGGGGCAAAGACCCACGGGTGGGGGGAGGCCCCAGGCTAGGCTGGAAGGTCCAGCAGCAGAAGGATTCGACTAATCGGAAGAACCCGAGTCAGTCCCACCCCCGTCCTCCACCCCGTCCCTCCCCACAGCCGCCGTCTCCTCCGGTCGGAGGGCGGCAGCGACGCGAGAGGGCGCAGCTGAGCTGGATGGGGCGGCCTCTTGGCTGCCTGGACCCGCTGCGGCATCAGCCCCGAGGAGGATGGGCCGCCGCGTCCTGGGCACACGTCCTGCTGACAGGGCTTTAACCTGGGAGCGAACGCTAGCACGAGTGGCTTTATTGACTGGCGGCCCAAGACAATCCTCACGGAGCTTTTTAATATACTTGTCAACCTGCAAACTATAGCGCCCACAAAGTTCACAGATTCCAGCGGGGCCCCAACGAATGAGTTTATGTCCTCTTCCGATTTTTGGGGCCCCGAGACATTGCGAGTTAAAAAGGTTCCTGTAGCTCACAGGGGTAGTGGCGATCCTGAGGCACTTAGAACATCTCACTTGGGCACCGTCCTGAACAAACTCATGTTCGGTGAGGGAGAGCTTGGGGGCCTGATCTAACTTGCTTTTCTTAACCAGGGGCTCCCCAACCTCCTTGAACATCCTGACCGTGCGGGATGCCATGTACGCCGTGAACTGGGCGATCTTCTTGGACTGGACGATCATCTGCTTATGATGTTCTGCCAGCGTGTCCGCGACCTTCACGCCCATAGCTCCAGCATATGCAAAGAAGTCGGCCCATGCATTCCCATGGGCATGGGCGAGTGATCCACCTGCCTCGATGAAATTCTGAATATCTCTGTGGGAAGGCACCCAAACAAATTCAGAGCGCTGCTGGTCATGACGGCAGAGATGGAAGATCTTGCGCCAGACCTCGGCGTGCAGCGAGCCGCTAGCTTCGAGTTCTGGGCTCCATTTGTTAGCTTCACGTACGAACGACAGGTGATCACTGACAATTAAACCTGGCCGTTCCATCATCATCAGCGCTCGGTATCCCGCGTAGCGTTCTCCCCGAGGCACCGTTTGGTCGCGGCCAGGGAGGCCCCCATACTGAGCTCGAACTGGGATCCCCACCGGCGGACATATCTGAACAATGGCCCATCCGACACGGCCCAGGGTAGGATGACTGATGAGCATTCCCGAAGCGTCGCAATAAGTAATAGAAGACCAGAGACCATCAGCATCACCCCATGACAATATCTCTGGGGTCTCATCTGGAAGACGGGGTTGCAAAGGCTCCGTCGGATGTCCATATGTCAGGTCAAAAGTATCGGGGTCATTCATGTTCTCCTCCACAAGTTTCAACCTGGCTTCGCGGAACTCAACTACGTCCTCGGGAATGACCTCGGGGCAGGCATCTGAGAGCTGCAATGTAGCAGGGCAAACGTTCCACTGATGCGAGAGAGTACCTTTGGGAGCACCGCAATATGGGCATTCACGAGACGCCCCGACCCCAAGGTCCACTGACCTGTCGGGACACAAAAGACCTCCAGCCCACAGCTTCCTGAGTGCTCCCCTCATTGGTCCAGCTTTGACAGAAAACAACGCCAGTCTCATGGCCCGTCGCCAAATCTTCTCGTCGCCGATCCGCTCTGGTAGATGGTGAAGGATACGTCCCACCTGGAGCCGATGAATAGATTCCACCAGACGCTTCTCCAGATCTCTGGGAGCAACATACAGTAGCCGTCGGAACCGATATCGAGCTGGATCGATCCGATTGGCATCCACACTGCCAGTCTGCCCCTCCTGCTGCCGACCTCGCTTCCGCGCTGCCGCTGCCGCTCCTGCACCCGACTCCCCGCCTCCTGCCCTCGGGCACGCTGCAAAGAACGGCCGAGGCACGGGTCCCCGGATATATGCTGCGGGCTTTCGGGTGGCAACCACATGTGGGCGACGATCAAAAACGCGTCTCACGCGAGATGACATGGCGACCTCGCGCGGTGGCTTACGCGGGCCAGCGCGGCACGCTGCATTAGAAACGAGGGCGCTTACGCGCGACCTTACGCGGGCAGCTTACGCGCCAATGTCAGCGCAAACGACCCCGATGCTTGGCGTCGAGCCCTGCCCCTGCGGGCCACATTTCTGACAAACTGGCTGGGGCTCAGGATCTCGAGGGTGTCTGCAGCCAAGTGAACCCCAGCGGGAGGTTGTCCGATACCCACGCGTCGTTCGGATCTGCAGGGGTTAAGGCTCGCAGACGGTTGCAACTTCGAGCCCCTGGGGCACTCCACGTGCAACCGGAAAGTTGATGCAACCGTACTTTCAATTTCTTGCCCCCCTCCAATGAACACGCCATGTAATTGATCCCCCCCGCTTTTGGACGCACGTACTGTTTCCTCGGAACGAGGCGCGCGCGTGTATAGCACGCTGCCGATTGCCACTGCCTGCGCCCTTCATGGGCTCGCCTCTCGGCGCACGGGCTTGACCTGGACCTTGCCCCCCTCCCCCCGGGACCGCCGATCCCAACGCTGAGTCAGCCGCGGCCGACGCGGAAAAATCTGACCGCGCGGCGCCCCGCGCCAACATTACTCGCGAAGCATCGGCGGGGTACCGCCGTGATCGCGCGCGGGCCCGAACAGTGATCGAATTGCGAGATCTGCTAGGGCCGATTCCCCACCACCACTACCATAGGTAGGAGAGGGAGGAAGAGGAGGAGATGGAGGAGGAGGAGGAGGAGGAGGAGGAGGAGGAAGAGGAGGAGGAGGAGGAGGAGGAGGAGGAGGAGGAGGAGGAGGAGGAGGAGGAGGAGCGTGACCAAGGGAGAGGAGGAGGAGGAAGAGGAGGAGGAGGAGGAGGAGGAGAAGGAGGCAAACGAGGAGGAGGAGGAGGCAAACGAGGAGGAGGAGGAGGAGGAGCAGGAGGAGGAGGAGAACAAGAGGGAGGAGGAGGAGGAGGAGGAGGAGGAGGAGGAGGAGGATCTCCTCATCCTCCCTTCTCCCCCGTCCTAACTATGGTAGTGGTGGAACACTGGCCCATCAAAATCGGACTGGACGGAAAAGCGATCGGACAGCCAGCGAGTCGCCCCGCATCCAATCGCCCCGGATCCAATGACCCAGCGGCCGGCTTGGGCTGACGTCGACGAATCGAGGCGAGCCGAAGCGAACGGGAATCGCGGCTCCAGCTGGCGAGTCGAATCGTATCGAATCGGATCATACTGGAGGCTTGGAAATAGGTACCAACACCAACACGGGGGCCTGCCTCCACCAAGGGAAGACGATCCTAGACCTGGGTGGTAACCTGTCGGTCGCCCAAGGAACCCCGAGCACTACCCCCGCCACCGAGGTCGGGATCCTCCCCCCTCGGTGGAGGCACGCCGCCGGCACTGGTGCTGGTGCCAACCTCTGGGCCTCCGAGCGAAGCGAGGACGCCGCCGTCTACAGAGAAGGGGCGTGCGGGCTGGGCAGCTCGCGGCTCGCGGGCCGAGCGCGCCGCGCAGGGGTCACCGCCGCCATCCACAGGCGGCCCTGGCCGTGGCCGCACGTCCCCGGTGCTCCCGCCCCCTCGCTCGTCGGGGCAGCCGCCGGGAGGGGCGGCCCCCCTCGCGGCGTCCTCCAGGCACGCGCTGCTGGGCGGCTGCCCCCGCCGCGGGAGCGCGATCTCGATGACCTGCCGCGCGCAGCACGCCACACACGCAATGGGCATCGGGGCGGACGGAGAGGGAGGAAACCATGCGAGACCGATCCGTAACGTTGGAAGTCGGCCCTTCAAAGAGATGGATCGCCGCCCGGACAAGGACGGCCACGAGCTGAGCAACAACTGCACTTGCGGTGCGCATGTCTTTTTACATGTTCAGCGGCAGCCGTCGACTGTGCCAGGGTTGAAACCTGCAACCTGTGAACGGCGCAACTTCAACATCATGATTAATTGTCGCGCTCATGGTTTCAATCCAAGACGTTCTAGAGCATCTGGCGGTCTTCGTCTCTGGAATCCGCACGAAGGAGGAAGGAGTACATGGGATTGGTGTCGGGGTGCGACTGGCTCAGGATGCCTTCCCAAACATTCCAGATCATCTGGCGGCCCGCGTCTCTAGAACCCGCGTGGGGGGCAATATGAGCATGGCATCATCATCATCATCATCATCATCATCATCATCATCATCATCATCATCATCATCATCATCATCATCATCATCATCATCATCATCATCATCATCATCAGCATCAGCATCAGCATCATCATCATCATCATCATCATCATCATCATCATCATCATCATCATCATCATCATCATCATCATCATCATCATCATATTCATCTTCATATTCATCTTCATCTTCATCATCATCATCGTCAGCATCATCATCATCTTCATCTTCATCATCAGCATCAGCATCAACATCAGCATCAGCATCATTATCATCATCACCATCATCATCATCATCAGCAGCATCATCAGGACGTCTTGCGCATGGGGCGCCACACAGCTGCAACTGCCAAGCGTGACGACGCGGGAGAGATCCGCAGGCTCACGGACCCACCGACCGCCAACCCGACCCGCCAGAGCGGGCGGTGGCACCGGGGCCCGCTCGAGAAGACTCACCGCGCAGGACAGGCTCCGCTCCGCGTGGGGGCGGCCCTGGGCCCGCGCGATCTCTCTCTTGTTAGTCCCTGGTGCTGTGGAAGTGTCGACTGGAGCAGCAGTCTGGGGCCCAGCTCGTTCATATACTACGGGGCGGTGTCCACCCTCGATGCTTGGGGGTGCGTCCAGATCGCCCACTCTGGGAGCGTATCCCCGCGACCCCGATGTCGGGAGCGGTCCGCTTTTCGTGCAGAACTCGGGGGTTGGGGGCGTTGGGTCACCCGCGATCGCGGCCTGCATGGTTGGGGTTGGCCCCTCCGCGCCCCCCACGAAGCCACCCGCCAGAGAGGTCTTTCGCGTTCTGCGAACAGAGAGCGCAACCTGCAGACACAACGAAACACAACATGCGGCCATCTTCACGCCCCCGCGGGCGGCCCGCGGGGCCCGACCCGGAGGAGTGAGAGGGAGGGAAGAAAAGGAAGGAAGAGGATAATGAGGAATGACGAAGAGGAGACGCTGCGAGCTCAACCCCCAGAGTCTGTCCAAAAAGGGCAGGGGGAGAAAGGAGAAAGAAGAGGTGGGGGAGGAGGAGGAGGGAGGAGGAGGAGGAGGAGGAGGAGGAGGAGGAGGAGGAGGAGGATTAGGATAACCATAATGACGACGAGCACGGAGGAGAAGGAGGAGGAGGAGGAGGAGGAGAACCATAATGACGACGAGCAGGGAGGAGAAGGAGGAGGAGGAGAAGGAGAAGAAGGATGATGATGAGGAGGAGGAGGATGCAGAGGAGGAGGAAGAGGACGAGGAAAGGGAGGAGGAGGAAGAGGAGGAGGAGGAAAAAGGACGGGGGAGAGAGGAGGAGCACGGACAGCCTGCGATGCGGAGCGGGCCGCCCGCCGCGTCGTGCCCGCGCCAGGCGGGGATCGGCCTGCCACTCAGGCCATACTCGGCGGGGCGCCCCTCGCGGCGAGCTCCGACTGGATGTACGCGGAGAGCTCAGCACACCCATCATCACAAACTCGACGTAGGTGGGCCCATGGTTCGTGTGTGGCCACCTCCCCACAGGGGCTGGCCGCGCTCCCTACTGGCCTCCCCGACGCCCCGCGGCTCTGCCGAAGACGTGTGCAGCGTCGGTTCTGTGCGGCGCCGGTTCTGTTTAGGGTTCCTGGCTTCCCCACGGAGAGGCCCTGGCCTGCGCCCTGGTCCCCCGAGGAGCCGGGCCAGACCAGTCGCGCCCCGATGGGCGGGGCCGCGCCGCCACCTGGCGAGCTGATGGGAGGAGACCACACCAAACTCGAGAAGCAAGACCACGCCCTTCGCTGCTGACTTGAGGGGCGGGACTGCACCAGCCGCGTTCGTACCTGCGTCTGGTGGCCCGTTGTGCGGGGCCACACCAACCTGCGTTTCTGCTTCTAGTGGCCTCTGTGGCGGGACCACACCATCGTACGTATCTGCTTCTGGTGGCCCGAAGAGTGGGGTCACACACGCCGTAGTCGAATCTGCATCTAAAAACCCGGGGAGCGGAACCGCACCAGCCGTAGTCGTGTCTGCCTCTGGCGGGCCGAAAAGCGGGATCACGCCAATGTGCGTATCTGTTTCTGGTGACCCGTGGGGCGGGGCCGCGCCAACGTACGCATGTGCTTCAGGTGACCCGCGGAGCCACACAAGCCGTAGTTGCGGCCTATGTATCGCGCATCCTCGTCCACTGGGTGTCGTCCCTCCCTCATGTGGTTGGGCCTCGTCTTCGTGTTCTTATCTTTGAGCTTATCCAGGCAAGCTTGGGCCGACAACATGGTTAGGCCGCCTGTACGCGTTGCAGAATATCACCGTGCTCGCCGCCTTCAGCTGGTTGCTCTGGTCGGCTACTTGGACCACGTGTGGGTACCCTGGTAAACAGCCCAGTCGCCAGTTCACCCTCGGACTGGGACCTCTCGCCACATCTGTCGCGCCCCCAACTCAGCTGCATCCCGCTGCCCAACCACTTCGGTCTGTGCTTCGGTGCGCTCTCGTCGTCCCTCTCGTGTCTGGTGTCGCCTGGCATGGACAGCTGTGGCGTGATCTCGCTCTGGAGGCGAGCTTGCGCTCGCTGTCACCACCCGCTGCCGTCAGGCACTGTGCGCCCATCTTCGTCGCTGTTCGTCGCTCGTTTCGACGCCGCCGCCGTCGCTTCGGCCACTCTCGCCGTATTGCTTGGCTGTGCGCTCGCATTCGCCTCGCCTACGGCGCGTTCGTGCACTTTCCGTCTTACCCCCGCGCCTTCTTGCGGACGGTGGGCCCATTTGCGGGCTGGTTAATCGGTTCTGCTTCGTCCTCTTCTTCGCTCGCCTCGCCAGCCCCCTTGTCGCGCGCATTCTTCTGGCCTCTTCGACGATGCCGGGCCTGGATTGCCGTTGATGGCTGCGGCCGCAACACCCGTCGCTGCCGCCACGATTGCGGCTCCGCTTGGCCCTGTTTGCGAACCCCCACAGGGCTCGCTTCTTCCCTGCCCGCGCGGTCGCGCTGCATCTGGTGCTCGTTGGCCAAGTAGCTCTCGAAGCTGATGTCGTTGCGATCGTATCTGATACCTGTGGAACCCAGTGTTGGCCTGCCTCACCTCCTCCACCGAGTTGCTGACCAGCCTGAAGAATTGCCTCCTCCTCGGTGCTTTTTGGTTCCATTGTCTCCTGCAATATTCTTCCAGGAAGTCGTCGAAGCGCAAATGCGGGTTGGACGCGGCGAAGCGTGTCCTGAGGGTGTTTTTGTATGTTAGCCGTACTTCGCGCAAGTATGCCACACACCATTCCACCCAATTTTCCTCGTCCGTATACTCCTCGGCCCTCACGTCGTCGAACCGCATGCTCGCCAATGTTTGCACACGCTGTCGAAAAATGTGCGTTTAGTCCTTCTGGGTGGGCCCGTACCTTGAGTGAACGTGCGGCATCCGCCCCATGAGGTTGGGGTTGCCGCTGGCGCCGTCACCGAAAGACTCCTTATAGCCCGTCATGACCTTGGCCTCCGATCTCGCCTTGAGCTCCATCACTCTTGGCCTCTTACCGCGTGGTGGCCTTCGAGACCTTTCAACCTTTTTGCTCACATTCGTATGCTGATCCGTGTTGTCCCTCGGCTCGCTGTTGTCTATCACGCGCACGTGGCCAGTCCATCCTGCCATCTGCTTGGCCGTCTCCCCCAATTGCAAGTGCCTCGCCACCTCGTACGGCCAGCTCTTTGGGTGGCACTGTGCTCCTATAGCTTCGCCTCCTTGTCCGCCGCCAGGCTGTCCAGGGCCAGCCTCCTCTCCATTCGATGGTGCCGTGCTCCACCCTACTACTCGCTCGGTGCGCCTTCACCTGCACGAACGTGATGCTGTCCTTGCCCATGTCCTTGATTAGCCTACATCTTCGTCTCCCTTCCTCCGCGTAGGCGTTGGCAGCTGAGCAGCAGCATTTCGGCCCAGCAGCGATGCTGTCCAGCAGGTGGAGGAGGGAGGAGCACGAAGGAGGAAGGACGGGGGGAGCGACGCGAGCGCTCCCTGGAGCGCTGCTCCTGCGAGCGCTGCTCCCGGGCGGCGTGCAGGCGCAGCACCAGGCTGCCCTCGGCCCTCCAAGGGGAGGCGACGGGGCGGGCAGCCGAGGCCGACCTCCCGGGGCGCGCCGTCCTCGACCCGGCAGGCCCGGGACTGGGCCCCGGAGGACGGGGAGACGCGGGGTCCTTGCGCGAGGAACTCACGCGGTGGCTCTCGGCGGGTTCGTGCCGGGCCGGCTTCGGCGTTGGTCTCGGACACCGCGGGGATCGTTCAACCTTGAACGATCGGCCGTTTCCGAAACGTCAGACCGTTCATCATCGGCCGATGCCGGGTCGCCAGTCGAGCTGGCAAGCCTGGGAACGCACCCGCGCGACGGAGAGACCCGTTATGAGACATAGCTCGGCGGCGGGCCCAGGGGAGCAGGCGAGAGGGGGCAAGCCTTCTCAGAAGGCGGCCTCGCCTTCCGAGAAGTCCCACCAGCTCTTCAGGGCGTAAGTGGTCCAGGGAGCTCTCTCTTCCAATCCGCCCCGCGAGGCCTTTAGTCGTCAAAGATGGCCCAAGACGGCTCCCAGAGCGCCTCGGAAAGCTC